AAGCATCAAGGCAGGTCAGAGGACTACAAATATAAATTTTCCATTTGACATATGTCTGATCCAAATATTCACACGAGTCAAAACACAAAGGAGCAAGTGGTATTTCTCTGATATATTAAAGTCCCTAACTTAGATGCATGCAACCAAACATCTTCAACACACAAGGGTTGAAACCACGTCCATGGCTGTGCCAATGCAAATCAGTGAGGAAATATTGGCTCTTGTGCCAACTGGTTTTCGTCTGAATAATTTTTAATTCAAAGAAAGTTTTCCGTGAATTTTGTATTGTTAAAGAAAAAAACTTATTCATCACATTTGTTAAAGACATTAAAAAAGACTTGTTTCAAGGGGGTGTCTTGTCATGGGTGTAGGGACCGTGGACTGCAGAGGGGTCTTGCAGTGGGGAGAGAGACTGCGCTCAACTCCAACAAGGACCATTGGGGATTTGTAACCCAGGAGCATGGTTGGGAGTCCGTGGGTGGAAAATTACTAAGAAGAAACATGAGGGATGAGGGGGATTCTTGCTAGATCAACTCAAACAGAACTCTTTGAAGGCAGGCCAGGGTGATAAGATACTGAGGGTGGTCAGATACCAAGGGTGGGTACTTTCCATAAACTGACTTAGCAAGATTATTTTTTGTTGTTGTTTTAAATTTTATTTTTTTATTTGAAACAGGGTCTCACTCTGTTGCCTAGGCTGGAGTACAGTGACACAATCATAGCTCCCTGCAGCCCTGAACTCCTGGGCTCAAGCGATCCTCCTGCCTCAGCCTCCCCAGTAGCTGGGACTACAGTGCGTGCCACCACACTGGACTAATTTTTCTATTTTTTGTAGAGATGGGGTGTCACTATTTTGCCCAGACTAGTCTGGAACTCTTGACCTCTAGCAATCCTCCTGCCTCTGCCTCCCAAAGTGCTAGGATTACAGACATGAAGTCACTGCCCCAGGGCTGGATTCTTACTCAAACAGAATTCTACAGAGACATAGTGGAAAGCCCAAGGTCAGGCCTAATTGAGCAGAATGCTCAGTATGTCTGTAGTTAGGACCAGTAGTGAGTCTTTGTTGGTTATTCAAAGCAGAATTGCTCTTTAAGTGCTATGAATCCATTCAGATGCAGAAATTAATTCAAAGTCAGACCACCCTTGCTGTCAAGAGGGATCTTTGCCTGCCCCTCTTTCAATACTTTAGGAGACTATTCCATAACCCTGGTCCTAAATACAGGGTTTTCTGAGGCTTCAAGAAATTTGGAGTCATTCCTTGTTTCCTTGGGTGAGTCTACATGAGTGGTACCTCCAGAGTTGATTCTATAGGAAACATATGTCAAAATACGCCCAGAAATAATCACTCTGATGATTTTATAGAGCGACACTAATTCCGTTTTAGTTCTCAAAATGTTTCCATTATTCACGGTCAGTCTTAGCTTTGTTGCAATAAAACACCACATTTAACACTCCTTGTCTAGGGAAAATCAGAGAATAGTATGTCCTTAGACACAGATGGTCAAGCCCTCACGGTTGTCAGAATCTCTCAAGGCACAGAAGGGCACTGTACATCAGGGGATGTTCTGGGCATGCCGGCTTCTGCCTGGACTGTCCCTGGGGTCTCTGGAGACCACCTGCGGCACTAAAGGACTGGCAACCAAACCAGGTCTTGAAGGTACTTCCTAAAAGCACCCCCTTTTCTTCCTGTCTTATTTTGTGGCTGCGGCTCTTCAGTTTCTTCAGTTAGATGAAAACAAAGGTTAAAAGGACCGTGATGCACGCCTGTAATCCTAGCACTCTGGGAGGCCAAGGAGGGATGATCGCTCAAGGTCAGGAGTTCGAGACCAGCCTGAGCAAGAGCGAGACCCCCCCCATCTCTACTAAAATAGAAAGAAATTATCTGGACAACTAAAAATATATATATATAAAATTAGTCGGACATGATGGGCATGCCTGTAGTTCCAGCTACTCAGAAGGCTGAGGCAGCAGGATTGCTTGAGCTGAGGACTTTGAGGTTGCTGTGAGCTAGGCTGACACCACAGCACTCTAGCCCAGGCAACAGAGGGAGACTCTGTCTCAAAAAAAAAAAAAAAAAAAAAAAGAACCGTGATGCTGTAGGTCCCTGGCATATTGCTGGGCTTGCCACATAGCCTGCTTCTTTCTTTCTTCTTTCTCTTCTTTCTTCTTTCTTTCTTTCTTTCTTTTCTTTCTCTTCTTCTTTCTTCTTTCTTCTTCTTTCTTTCTTTCCTTCTCTCTCTCTCTCTTTCTCTCTCTCTCTTTCTTTCTCTTCTCTTCTCCTCTTCTCTTTCTTCCTTCCTTCCTTCCTTCTTCTGTTTCTTTCTTTCTTTCTCTTCCTTTTCTTCCTTCTTCCCTTCCTCCCCCCCCCCTGCAACCATCACAAGATCATAACCTCAAAATCATGCTCATGGGATTCCTTACAGAGATAAATCCAAAACTATTCACCTCAGCAGAGAGGGATCTAGGGTGAGCAAATGTTCCAATTTGCCCAGGAAACAGGGGGATTTCCTGCTACGTAGAACTTTCAGTGCTAAAATCGAGAAAAGTCCCAGGCAAACCAAAACAAGTTGGTCACCTGGTGGGGGAGCAACCATCTCTTCCTCATGGGAAGCACAGCCTTCAGCTAGTTGAACTATTCCAACTAAATCTAGAATAGATGCCATAGCCTATTAAAACTGCTGAGGACTCTAGCAATCATCTTCCTTGTCATTTTTGCAGAGAGATGCTCAGACTCAGGTGTAGACATATTCCCTAGGTCACACAGTTTGCTAGTAGCATATCAGGAACCAGAATCTAGATCGCCACACTCCCAATTTAGGGCACTTCCCATTGCATTACAGTTTTCACTTTCTTATTCTCTCTCTTTTTTTTAACTCTCACTTAAAATGTAAAATTAGTTCAGCTGGTTTTTCTTTTGGCCACAGAATTCAACTTTAGGAGAGTGAAAACTGTTTTTCCCATTTGCATTGGGCACCACTTTTGATTGTCTTTATGATTGGGTGGTGAATGAAGGCTAGAATGGAATCAGGTTGTTGTAAATGGCCTCAGTGAGTCACCAATTCTATAATCACGTGACATTCATTCCTACCTGTTGTTTCTATGGTTCACTGAAAGTATTTTTTTTTTCAAGAGGCAGGGTCTCGCAATGTTGCCCAGGCTGGTCTTGCACACCTGGGCTCAAGTGATCCTCCTGCCTCAGTCTCCAACTAGCAGGGACTACAGGTGTGCTATCACACATGACTGGAAGTCTTTTTAACATGCAATTATTTATCACTTAAATACTACCTTTGACTGAGGAAGTCACATGCCAAGACAATGTACCCCTTCTAAAATGGCAGGCAAGGGGATTGTGTTCCTCTCTAAGCTTAAAACCTACAAAATGCACACAAATATTGCTTCTTCATAAGATATATAACTTTTTCTTTAACAATACAAAACTCACCAAAAAAGTTCTATGAATTCTTTCAAAGGGAAGGTTCAAGATACTTGCTCTAAAAATTGAAGTTGATGTATAAACCTATTAATTCTAAGCACTTTGTAGATATCATCTCATAGAGTCCTCTTTACACTCCTGTAAGAGAGGTAATACTATTATCCCTATTTCGTACATAGGGAAACTGAGGCACACAGGGGTTAAGCAACCAGTCCAAAGTTGTTATTGTTGCTGCTGCTGATTTTTTATTTTTGGAAGGAAATCACTTTTAGTTACCTTGCAAATAACATCACAACAGATTGCTGTTGATTTTTTTAACTCTAGTAAGTGGTGGACTCTGTGTTTCTGAGCATTTTGCTCTTTCAGGAGAGAGTAGAGCTCAAAGACTCCAATAAAGCAAACCATCCGAATGTGGTCTTGGAAAGCAAGGACAGGAGATATGGAGATAAATCAATGAGTATTTGCAGTGGAAGGAGTGACTCTACTGACTTCTCCAAGCAGGTGTTTTTTTTTTTTTTTTTTTTGTAGAGATGGGGTCTTGCTATATTGCCTAGACTAGTCTCAAACTTCCGGCCTCAAGTGATCCTCTCAATGTGCAAGGTGATGGGATTACAGGCATGAGCTACCGCACCTAGCCTCCATGCAGTTTGTTTATTTATTTATTTATTTATTTATTTGAGACAGAGTCTCGCTTTGTTGCCCAGGCTGGAGTGAGTGCCGTGGCTTCAGCCTAGCTCACAGCAACCTCAAACTCCTGGCCTCAAGCAATCCTGCTGCCTCAGCCTCCAGAGTAGCTGGGACTACAGGCGTGCGCCACCATGCCTGGCTTATTTTTCTATATGTTGTTTCTATAGTTGGCCAATTAATTTCTTTCTATTTATAGTAGAGACAGGGTCTTGCTCTTGCTCAGGCTGATTTCGAACTCCTGAGCTCGAGCAATCCGCCCGCCTTGGCCTCCCAGAGTGCTAGGATTACAGGCGTGAGCCACCGTGCCTGGCTCTCCATGCAGTTTAGACAAAAAGATGTGTTAGTGCGTCTCAGCCCTAGTTCCCTTCTTCACTGGGTGTCCTCATGGAAACACATCATGTGCACTCTGCAATCCATGCTAGAACACAGGCATGGGGGTCTGGAAACTTCTGCCATTAAATTAGTAGTAGTGGGGGTCCCTTCACCAAGCCCTGCCTGATTTGGCCCTCTGCACGCCTCTGTCCCTTTACCACTGTGCCTGTAGGTCCCCTACATTTAAGTTTGGTCTGCTCCAATAAACTGATATTGAACATCACTACTTTGACGTGTAAATACACCGGGCAACCTTTGATTTTATAGGAAACATCTAGAATTAACAACTTGGATGTCTTATGTGGCACAGCTGTTGTGCTTGGGGAAAGGAGATTGCTAGTTAAGTCTTTCAGAAAGAAACACCTTCAAAATGGAGAGGAGCTGACTTCAATTAATGTCTGGCTTTTCTGTAATTTTGTATGCTGGGCTATAATCGTAAAGTAGCAAACATTTTCGGGTACTGCGTCAACACGTCACTCCATCAAAACATCCACAATGATGATAGAAATTATGAAAGAAAGTTGTCAGCATGATTTTATTGAAATGTTTTAGTACAATGTTGAAGGATCTTAAAGTCCTATACCCAAATCAATACAAGCACTTCAAATGATATATTCCTAGCTGACATTGTATTTAACAAAGAAAAGGTATCATCTACAAGTTGACTAATATAATTTAAGCTGAGGCTAAACAACTTTGGTGTATTCATATTTCTATGGCTTCCCTTTTTAGCTAGACATATGCCAAGCCCACCCCCATTCAGTAGAGTTGGGCAGGATCGATATGTTTGGTGGTCTCAGGTTTCCACACTAGGAGCAGCAAAGATCGAGAAAGTTCTGGGACTCTACTGCTTACCAGGCAGTCTTCAATTGGCTTTGTTGAACTGGAAACATCAAATAGTTAAGGTCTGAATTTCCACTTTGTATGGATGAGTCCAGTCTAATTAGTTCATAAATGTATTCAGAAGTACTTTGAAATACAAAAGTGGAGCTAAAGCATGATAGAAACCATCAGTGCTTAATTCAGAGAATACCAATGCAGATTTCCTTAATCTCGTTTTTTATCTGAAGATCAGTATTTTAAAACTAGCTCTATACATTCCTAGACTTTAAATATCTTAGTTAAAATGATTACCTTTTACTAAATCAACTGGCTTTAGTCCCGTCCACATGTTTAAACTTGCACACTTGCACATCAAGCTGTCTACATATGTGTCTTTACAATTACACCTTTATTTCATACAAGCATAGAAACTCCAAGAAATACAGATGTCACACATTTATCAAAAATAAAAATTACGTAGCATCAAAATAGACTCTTTACACTCTTGCTAAATATAGTCAATCTGTACTGCACAGCTGACTTTACCAAGCCACTTTAAGGTACAGCAAAATGTTAGTTTTTGCAACTAAAACAGTATTTTCTAACGTCATTTCATCCTCTAGTATAGTGAAGTTTAAAACCCTAAAGATTGCTGTTCAACTTTGTTAATGATCTATTCTATTTTTTTTTATGTTTTTCCCTTTTTTTGCACCTATACCATGGAAATGTCAATGATCTATTAAATAGATTTCATTTTTCCACCTGCAAAATTTAGAGCAGACAATTTATTCAGCAGAAGGGAGAGACTGCTGTTCATTATTTCTAGGCTTTGCCTATGCAAATCCTCTTCTTTCAGGGCTGAAGAATTTAACTCGTTGTCTACCAATGTACATATAATAAAATTCACAAAGAGCCAATGCTTGACTTCTGCCACAGAGGCAGCAAGGCACTTCCCTTAGGAGCATGTTGTGAGGGTCACCTTATGGACAATGCAATCATCAGTGAATTTCCTCTCTACAGACACTTCTGAGCCACTTTTAAAACATTATCCTACTGGAGCAACTGAAGTTCATTAATCTGTACTTTTTTCATAGGCCTCTCCCACCCATATTTTTCATAGAACAGCTTTAGTTAAAATTGCCAGTTGCTAGAGACTTACTACTTCTGATTACAAAGGGTAAAAGAACACTGAATCAAAACTAATGAAATAATGTTTATGCATTCGGTGGCTCTCATAAAAAGTCACCTTTTATTTATGTCAAAATCAAGATAATGATCAGAATAGTAAATCTGAGAGGATCTAAGGGAGTCTTTATTTCAGTGGATATCTACGAAATGAAATCAGTGGGAAAAAATGCAAAGTAAATGCTATAGTCAAAAATATGATATAAAAGAACAAGATGTTGGGACATGAGGCGCATTCCAAAGAATGGTCCATCTGGGAGGGACAGAGGGGAGCACTAATGTGACAACGAACTCAGAGATTGTATCTCAAAAGAATTTCCAAATCAGAGCAATTGCTGAATATAATTTTGGAATTTTAGGTCATGGCATTTGGTAAGTAACAGTTATAACGTGTTTCAGAAGTAGTTATAAAAAAAAGATACAGAATACAGAAGTACATTGCCTCTGATTTTGTTTACCAAAAAATAAATGTGTCAGTGGCCATCTTAAGCTAAGTAAAATTTGGTCCAAATTAAGTACAATAAACAAGATGGTTACAAAAAAAAAAAGAAAAGAAAAGAAAAATTAAAAATTCATGGTATTATAAATTTTTTTTAAGGTTTACTCCAAAGTAAAGGGCTCATTCTATACAGGGTTTTACCCAAATGTCCATAGGCATTATCATTATATTTACACAGAAGGCTTTAATCTGAAGTCACCTTTGGCAACCTCGAAATATATAAAGTATGAACTCCCACGATGAAATTATACATTTGAAAGTTGTTGCCTCAAAGTACTGAAAGAACAAAGGAAAAGATCACCTGTCAGAACAAGTGAAGATGACAAAAACATTTCTCACTTAAGATGGTTCCTTTAAAGACTAAATAACCACCACCCTCCCCAAAACACTGGAAAGAAATGATCTTGAGCTTTAGAAAGGGAAACAATGAATCTGAGAGTATACAAAGATCTGATGCTTTTGCCAGTGATTATGTTATCATTGCTGAGTCCTAAAGCTAAAAAAATCAGACTAACGAAAACAACTCAGAAGTCAGAGTAGGATTGCTGGACACTGCATGTTCTGGATTTATAGCGGGACATGGCTGAACAGGTAGGACACAGATTCCCCGTTGTGTGTCCTTCGGATCGCCTCCGCCAAGATCATGGAAATGTCAATGACCTAAAAGCCAACGAGAAAAACAGAAGGGAGGAAAAAAGCGAGACATTGAGTTCTTTAAAAACTGAAAAGCCCGAAAGCTGAGAAGCGATTTCTCTAGCACACATGATGTGTTACCATCAAAACCTCCCATGCCCTTTTCTTTTGAGGACAGACAGCTTTGGGGTCTGTCTTCAAATGACAGCCTGTTGAACCAAACCCATATGGGATGGATCTGGGAAGGGAGATTTTTCAGTGCAGAGACTCAAAGGCTTTTTAGGGTGTTAACCAGAGACACCTTTTTTCTAGGGTCATTTGTTGTTTTAAAATTAATTTTACTCAATCATTATATGGAAAGTTTTTCTCTGTTTCTGAAAAAAAGGCGACTGTGTCATTTAAGAGTAGCACAACTGGGATCATCTAACCCAGGGGTCAGCAAACTACTTTCTATAAAAGACCATATAGTTAATAGTTTTGGCTTTCCAGGCCAGATGGTTTCAGTCACAAATACTCAACTTGGCTGTTGTTGTGTGAAAGCAGCCACAGGCAACAGGTAAAATGGGCGTGGCTATGCTCCAATAAAACTTCATTCACAAAAACAGATGATGGGCTGGATTTGGCCTGTGAGCTGTAGTGTGCCAACTCCCAACCTAAACTGCTACTAGTCAGGCATGAAAATGTTAACTGCCAGCTCTCTGGTGGCTAGTGGACATCCAGTCAGGAGGGGCAGGAAGGAGCAAAGCTCTTAAGATTCTTAGTACATAGGCCAGGCGCGGTGGCTCACGCCTGTAATCCTAGCACTCTGGGAGGCCGAGGTGGGCTGCTTGCTCGAGGTCAGGAGTTCGAAACCAGCCTGAGCAAGAGTGAGACCCCATCTCTACTATAAATAGAAAGAAATTAATTGGCCAACTAATATATATAGAAAAAATTAGCCGGGCATGGTGGCACATGCCTATAGTCCCAGCTACTCGGGAGGCTGAGGCAGGAGGATTGCTTGAGCCCAGGAGTTTGAGGTTGCTGTGAGCTAGGCTGATGCCATAGCACCCACTGTAGCCTGGGCAACAAAGTGAGACTCTGTCTCAAAAAAAAAAAAGATTCTTAGTACAGCCTGCTTCCCCATCCCCATTTTTTTTATTGTGCTAAAATATATAACATAAAATTTGCCATTTTAGCCATTTAACTCAGTGACATTAATTATATTCCCATTGTTGTGTAACCATGACCATTATCTACTTCCAGAACTTTTTTTATCATCCCAGGCAAAAACTACCCCTATTAAATAATAACTCCCAATTCTCCCCTCTCCCATTCCCTGGTAAGCACCATTCTACTTCGTCTGTGTGAATTTTCCTATTCTATGTACCTCATTTAAGTGGAAACACAATATTCCTCCTTTTGTGTCTGGCTTCTTTTCACTTCACATGTTTTCAACATGCATCCATGCTAGAGCATGTGTCAGAATTTCCTTCCTTTAAAATATTCCATGGAGAGCACACTTGGTTCTCTATTCATCTGTTGATGGACATTTGGGTGTTTCTACCTTTTGGCTATGGTGAAGAGCGCTACTATGAACATTCATGCACAAGTTTTTGTTTGAACTTGTTTCCAAATTTTGAAGGTATACACCTAGGCATACACCTAGGAATTGTTGGGTCATATGGTAATTCTGTGTTTAGCTTTAGTGTGGCCTGTTTCTGTTTTTCTAGTGCGATTTTGTTTACTCGCTATTTCTAAATAGCAAGCACTGACTTTTGCTGGCCCTGGCCTTTCTCAGGGATCTAACGTGGTTTTTATCCTGCTGTCATGAGAAGCTGCAACCTCTGCCAGCATCTGTTTTAGCAAGGAGCCACACATACAGAAGACTTGACGCTATATTTGGGCATCTGAAATAGGTGCCTTGCTGCTTGGTTCTGCCTGCAGTGTAGACAGTACCTGAATCTTGGTGCAGTGCTTCATTTTGTCCTCTTGTGGAATTGTGTTTGTGACAACAACAGCCTCAAAGGCAGCATTATTTATTCTGGAAATAGCTGGCCCAGAGAAGATCCCATGGGTAAGGATAGCATAAACTTTGGTGGCTCCAGCCGAGAGTAGCCTATAAAATAGCAGAAGATAAATAATTGTCACAAATTCTTGAAATACCCTCCTCTAGTATGAATGGTAAAAGCAAAAAGTGTGTTCCATAAAGGAAAAGATGAAACAAACTTCACTCACATATATTAGCCTAAAATAGGATCTTTTAAGGTATACATTAGCAAAACACTTTGTATCCCATTAAATAAAGGATTAGCAATCTTGGCATTCAAGCCCAGATAATTCTTTGCTATGTGGGCTGTCCTGTGCATTTTAGGAAAATTCAGTAGCATCTCTGGCTTCTACCCCATAGCAACACCCATCCCCTCAGCCCTGACAATTAAAAATGTCTCTAGACATTGCCAAATGTCCCCCAGGGAGCAAAATTGCCCCTGGTTGAGAACCATTGGTTTAAACTAATATAGCCCGAATAACATCATTTTGACATGTAATCAATATAAAAATTATTAATGAGATACTTTACATTCTTTGCTTCATACTAAGTATTTGAAACCTGGGGTACATTTTACACTGGCCACGTTCCAAGAGCGCTACAGTCATGCATGGCGTGGTGGTGGCTCCTGCACCAGACAGCGCAACTCTGCAACCTCTGGAAGACCACGACCAAGAAGGCTGCCTTGAAGACTGAGCAGAAGGATGCAAGGGCCCAAAAAAGCCCCCAAACTCTCTTTCCTTCCATACTCAGCACCTCCTCTGACCCTTTCTCAAACACTCTGCAAGCTCAACCTGGAAAAGGCAAAGCCCATGATTTCTTTTCTACCAAAAATGATAGATAAGATAAAGATGATAAATGATAAAGATAAAGATGATGGGCCTAGCATCTCCTTTGGTCTAAAATTCCACTGCCAAGCAACCAGCGATCATTATAGGAAAAACGGGCCCAATTCTAAAATCGGATGCATTTCCCTTTCTTAGTGACAGGTTCTAGCACTTTCCCCACCGCCTGCATACTTGTCCGCAGCGTGGCAGATGGTGCCACATGTGTCAGCCATGTCGTCCACGAGGATGGCCACGCGGTCCTTCACATCACCCACCAAAACCATCCGGTCCACTTCGTTCGCCTTCTTCCTCTCTTTGTGGATCAAAGCAAATTCCACATTCAACCTGTCTGCGATGGACGTGACCCTGGCAAAGATGCAGATGAACATGCAGTCAATTAAAACTCTTTACAATCAATTGTTTAAAATTGTATTTTAGGGACGCAGCAAGCAACCACATTCAAGATGAAAGAGTCAGGTATCCCTTGTTCAGCCAGGCATGGTCTAAGGTACGCCCTAAGCAATATACAGGGAGAAACGTGCTAGCCATGGGCCTTGTGTTCATGGTAGCTGGAATGAATGTCAGGGCACCCTGGATGGAATTATTGGATAAGAAATTGATATTCAATTTGTTAGTATTTGTGAGTACCTTTTAAAAATCACAGGCACAGCTTAAAGCATGTTATTTAGGAACTGCCATTTGCTCAGTTGGTGGAAAATAGTGGGGACAAAAGGCCTGGGTAACACTTGCATGTAACACGTAGGCTTGTGAGAATGGGTTTCATTAGACTTGAGGCCTAAGGAGACTCTGTAAGCCTTGAGTCCAGCTAAAGCAAATGCTCAAATGTCATTAATGCCAGCACATTGGTATGCACCTGTCGTCCTAGCTACTCGAAAGGCTGAGGCTTGAGCCCAGTTCAAAGCCAGCCTGAGCAACATAGCAAAACTTCATCTAAAAAAAAAAAAAGAAAGAAAAAAAAAATAAGTTATTGGCTCAGAAGGGCCTGAGCTGGCAACAGGAAGAGAAAGTAGACAGGCCAGGCTTGTTGGTGAGCCCTAGAAATCTTGGATTGTCTGGTGAAGAGTGGACTTAAATGGTAAAACTTATTTCAAAACAATGCTGTAGATACATGACATTAAGACTTTCCTATTTTTGGCTGGGTATGGTGGCACATGCCTGTAATCCTAGCACTCTGGGAGGCTGAGGCGGGCAGATCACTCAAGGTCAGGAGTTCGAAACCAGCCTGAGCAAGAGCGAGACCCTGTCTCTACTAAAAATAGAAAGAAATTAATTGGCCAACTAAAAAAATATATAAAAAATTAGCTGGGCATGGTGGCGCATGCCTGTAGTCCCAGCTACTCGGGAGGCTGAGCCAAGACAATTGCTTGAGCCCAGGAGTTGGAGGCTACAGTGAGCTATGATCACACCACTGTACTCTAGCCTGAGCGACAGAGCAAGACCCTGTCTCAGTCTCCCCTCAAAAGACTTTCCTATTCCAGTTTTTAAAACAACAATCAGACATTATGCAATTTAGCTGAAAAAATATTTGAGGGACCAATACACACATACCCCAATTTAAGATGAAGTGCATGGAGGATACAAGCTCCAAACATTATTTTTTAAAGTATTGGTCCTATTCACTGTGTCATCCTCAGATAGTGACCAGGAATGGAGCTCCCATGTGCCCTAATCCAGAACAGAACGGCAAGCCTCTGGGAAGAATCCACTTGCTGGGGCCAAACAGGCAGCAGGAAGGGGACTAGGTGCTCCAGGCTACCCTTCCCCACTTCTGTGGACTTTCAACATAGCCAGTATTTTTTTTTCAATTGTGGAAAAATACATATAAAATTGAATCTATCTTCTGAACCATTTTAAAGTGCACAGTTCAATGGCATTAAGTGTATTCACAATGATGTACAACTATTACTTGTATCTAGTTCCAGAACATTTCATTACACCAAAAGGAAACCCCACACCCATTAAATAGTCCTTCCCCATTCTCCCCCCAACCCCGAGGCCCTGCCAAGTGCTAATCTACTTTTTGTCTCTATGGATTTGCCTATTCTGGACTTTTTGTACAAATGGAATCATACAACATGTGACCCTTTTTGTCTGGCTTCTTTCACTTAGTGTAAACTCTTCAAGGTTCATCCGTATTGCAGTGTGGATGGATAGAATCAGTGCTTTATTCCTTTTTAAGGCTGAATAGCATTCCACTGAGTGGATACAGCACATTTTGTTCATCCATTCGTCTGTTGGCGGACACATGGGTTGTTTCTACCTTTTGGCTATGTTGAATATTGCTGCTGTCAACACTGGCATGCAAATACCTGTTTGAGTCCCTGTCTTCAAGTGTTTTGGGCACACACCTCAGAGTGGAATTCCTGGGTCACATGATAACTCTGTGTATAACTTATTCAGCTGGTATTTTAACAACTTCAGCTACCCTCTTTTTAATTTGACCAAAGAATGCAGCAACCTCCTTCAAGCCTTAATGTTCTTTTTCCACATAGAATTAGTAAGGACACTTGCTATCTCAAGGCATGAAAATGAGGCCTAGGGAAAGCTACCTTTCTTCCACAGAGACATGTCTCCGCTTCCAGATGACATCTTTTTGAGTTGTACTTTGGTGCTCTGGCAGACTAGGCAGCCTGCTCAGCCTTGTCAATGGAACAACGACATGATACATTACACTGTAATCCAAGGGAACTATCTTTATAAACACATCATGGAGCTGGAATGATAGCAGGAATCATCAGAGGCAGAGAACGTAGAAGCAAGCAGGTTATCCTGAGAAGCTGATATGCAACAAAGGGCTTGCTCTGCGGGTTTCTGAGGAGCCCTGATGATTTCAAGCTTCCGCTTTGTTGGCAGAGACAGGGGGATGAGAAAGGAAGCCTTAGGGCCCAGCCGAGACAGACTCTAGCAGGAGACCCTTGTGTAACCCAGGGAGGCCAAAGGTTCTTCAGAGTTACAAGGAATGAAAAATAAACCTGTTGCCCACGTGGGAATAGGAAGGATGCTTACCTGTCTCAAACTTGATGCTGAGTGGAGGGGGTTAGTTCTCTCTCGAGAGTTCAAAACCACATCTCTCCCTAGCACCCTGGGAGGCTGAAGGGGGTGGATTGCTCGAGGTCAGGAGTTCAAAACCAGCCTGAGCAAGAGCAAGACCCCGTCTCTACTATAAATAGAAAGTAATTAATTGGCCAACTAATATATATATATATATAGAAAAAATTAGCCGGGCATGGTGGCGCACGCCTGTAATCCCAGCTCCTTGGAAGGCTGAGGCAGGAGGATTGCGAGCCCAAGAGTGTGAGGTTGCTGTGAGCTAGGCTGACGCCACGGCACTCACTCTAGCCTGGGCAACAGAGTGAGACTCTGTCTCAAAAAAACCAAAAAACAAAAAATACATCTCTCTCAGCTCTCCTGAGGGCTGCTCGTCCAAATTCCTATTACACGTGTGATGAAAACCCTCAAGTGGAAAGTTTAATTTATAAGGGATACTTTGGGTTAGTACACCAACGTAGCTGGCAAATGACAAATGCAAATCCTCTTGGAAGGATTATAATGCTAAAATTCTAAGGAATTTGAGGATTTCGCAGGAGACAGTCACAAGGTACCAAGGCACCAAAAGTGATAGCCACCAGAAACAATGTAATCAACTCACAACAGCGAAAGAATCAGATGCTGGCATTAGCTGAAAGGAGCCTAAAGTGACTGTTTATGTTTTAAAGAAATAAAACAGAAACTTGGATAAGAATAAAATGCTTATAAAGAATGACTAATCAAGACATGGGCAAGAAAAGAATTTCAAGAAATAAAAAATATTGTATTTGAAATTAAAAACTGTAGTAAACAGATTGAAAACACCTGAAGAGAGAACAAGTATATTAGGAGACAGAGATGAAGACCCTGTCCAGGATGCAGCCCAAGAAACAAAAGAGACAGAAAGGCACCAATCTCCCGATCTAGTAAGCCCAAGACATGAATCCCCAAGCAATCTCAATAAACTAGAGAAGACCAAGAAAGCTTAAAAAGGATCAAATGTCTTAAAAAAGGATAAAGATGAGTCGCCTAGAAAGGAATAGCAATCAGACTGATGGCCAAGCGCTCAACTCTCTCAATGGATGCCAGAAGTTAGTAGAGTAAGATCTTCGGTTTGATAAGAGAAAATAACTTATCAATCTAGGACTCTGAACCCAGCGAAACTGCCTTTTCAGAATGAGGGCAACATAAAAATATTTTCAGCCAAACTATACAACCTGAGAATTCACTTCTAACATGCAACTATTTAAAGAATGCAACTTAAGCAAAAGGAAAGTGATAGGAGATATATCGAGATGTGGGAGGAGGGGAAGGTGAGCAAAGATATTGGCTGATATGTGGAAAAACCTAAATAAATGTTAATTGTCTGAAACCATAATAATAATAATAATAATAATGTCTACTTTGTGGAGAAGAAAAAACCATACTGCGCAATAGCTTTAAAGCATACAATAAGATAGTGGTAATAAATCCAAATATGTCAATAATCAGGGTAACAGAAAAGGGACCAAACTTAAAGACTGTTAGATAAGAGAATAAGACGCCCATTTCAGATTTCCAAATGGCCTTGGAAGCAAAGGGAAGCATTACTATGATGAGAGCCATGTTTCTCCTTCCCTTAAAAAAAAAAAAAAAATCACCCTTCAGGGTGGAATGAAAATCACAGTAGCCCTAGCAGATACCCTTCATTCCCTAACTTGTCTAACTACCAACTTTCCTTACATAAGGATTTAATTGAGAAAAAGAAATGTAATTTGGAGGCTGATAAAAAGTTTGCCCCATAATCACCTTAAAGCATACGCAGTACTACTATTTACATGTCATTTAAACTTCAATTAAGGAAAGCTAGTTTCACAAATGGTATTGGGACAACGCATGACACTGAAATCTTAGGCAGAAAAAGCCAGAACGAAAATAACATATATACAGTTTGCCTTTGATTTCCTCCAGCATATTATTTACATTCTGTTTTCTGTGTGTATGAGTACGTGTAGGCACCGCCAGGAGAGACAGATACATGATATACCAGTTTATTCATAGTGGTATCACTGGTAGAGATAAAAGATAAAGTTTTCTTCTAACTTTCCAAATTTTCTATAGAGCATGTACACAGATCAGGGGGAAAAAGTTGAATCTGAATTATTTAGTCTCAACCACTTCCCATTCCACTTTTAGGTTGATACTTGGTATCTCAGTAGTGGTAGGTCTGTTTCCTTCTTAGCTTTATTTTTTTCTTAGTGGTCAACCCAATCAAGCTTCAAAGACTACCCAAGGGTGACCTCCTGTGGCGATATTAAGTTTTACCTGGAATGAGTCAAGCCTTGAAGCTTTCTCTAAAGCAACAAGCTCCAATTTGATAGATATTTACGGTACTTTCTTGGGTCAAATACGACTTTTTGTATCAAGGGAAGAAGCCACAGATAATGCCAACTGCATGCACCATGTCTAACCTGATGGCATTGTCAGTTGGGGAATGCCCCACTCCAGAATATGAGGGTATATGGCTGGGTGGCTCATGCCTGTAATCCTAGCACTCTAGGAGGCCGAGGCCGGCGGATCGTTTGAGCTCAGGAGTTCGAGACCAGCCTGAACAGGTGAGTGAGTGAGCAGGTGAGCAGGTGAGTGAGACCCTGTCCCTACTAAAAAACTAGAGAAAATTAGCTGGGCCATGGTGGGGCATGCCTGTAGTCCCAGCTACTTGGGAGGCTGAGGCAGGAGGATCGCTTGAGCCCAGGAGTTTGAGGTTGCTGTGAGCTAGGCTGATTCCACGGCACTCTAATCTGGGCAACAGAGTGAGACTCTGTCTCAAAAAAAAAAAAAAAAAAGGATATGAGGGCAACATGATGTAGAGCAGAAACGCTGGGCAAAGGGAAAGGAGGTGACAAAAATTCCACATCCCCTAAAAAGCTTGACTTTCCTAGCAGAGGAAGCAGGTGAGGTTGAGTGGGGACTGCTTTGAAGGGTTCTGAACAAACCATCTCAAGCCCCACCATTTACTCTGGTTAGTTTATTCTGCATTTTTTAAAAGCAGGAGTTGGCAAATAGCTATTTATTTGGAGCTGGGAACTTAGTATATAGTAAAAGACGCCATTTCATTTTTTTTAGTACCTCCTCTACGGAAATCAAATCAATAGGGGAAGAGGTGGATTATTTAATAAATAGTTCTGGAACAACCAGATAGTGGGAGGCGAGGGGAGAGTGGATTCTTATTTCACTCTTTATTACAAAACAAATTTCAGATGGAAGAAAAACTACAACATTAAAAAAGAAAAAGGCAACCATAAAATATACAGAATAATGGGAGAAGCAGCATTTTAAGAGAAGGGCGAGCCTTTCATAAACCCAGAAGTCATAATGTGAAGAAAAGATAAAATGACTACATAAGGTTTTAAAAGTTCTGCAGAGAATAAACATATAAAAAGGGGGAAGAAATGAAAAACTTGGAGAAATACTTGCAACACACACGAGAAACAAAGCTGCGATCTGATGCCTGTGCAGAACTCTTGACAATGCAGAGGAAAGGCCTGCAGCCCACAGAACAACAGGCAAAAGGTATGGATAGACAGACCTCTCAAGGAAAATCCAACGTATCCTCACCCGCAGCAACCCGAATTAACGCAGAGAGATCCCATAGATCGTGTACTTGATTTATAAATCAAAACTGCCTGATAATCCACTATGTGAGCAAGACTGTACAAAGTCACTGGCATCCATACCTGATGGAACGTCAACAGGTGTATCTTTTTGGAAAGACCACATTTTGGCACTGTCCAGCAAAACAAAAATGGCTTGTGCCTTGCACTTGGCAATTCCACTGCTGGGACTGTATCCTACTTGCATGTGTGTACAAACAGTCAAAGTAAGTATACTGCTGTGAGACTGTATTTAAAAGTGCAAGCAACGGTGCCCATAAGTGGGTAACAGGGGACTGTTATAATAGAAATTATGGAACATGCACACATGGGGATATTATACATCTGCAAAAAAAAAAAAAAAAAAACACAAGGCAACTCTATTGCACAACTATGGAATCATTGCTAATATACAGCAAGGAAGTTTTTTTCTTTTTAACCTAATAAGTCCTTAAAGCTCAAGCAAGTAAGTTTTTAAAGAAGCACAGTGAAGAAGTGTGTATAGCACATTACCATTTGTGTGAACTAAATAGGGGGATATATCTTTAAATAACATAATTCTGACACTGGAAAGAACAGTGGTGTTTAAAGAAGCAAATTGGGGACAATACCCTTTTGTGCTGTTTGAATTTCTGCTAAGAGCATGTATAATATTTTTAGACTATGTATATAAAAATAGGGTTGGTGTAGGAAAGGAAAAGGCCATACAAGTTTGTGGAATCAACTATTTTGGGGCTGATTAGCTGCCAAAGTAACATTTTCTGGTTAAAAAAGGAAATATGCCACACACAAAGGCCACATATGATCGATTGATGTAAAAAGTCTCAAAAAGGCAATTCCATAGAGACAGAAAGTAGATTCATGGCTGCCAGTGGGTGGTGTAGGGGTAAGTAAATGGGGAGTGACTGCTAATGGGTACAGGGTTTCTTTCTGGGTTGGCGAAAATGTTCTGTAATTAAATACTGGTGATGGTTACACAAATCTGTGAATATATGAAAAACCACTGAGCTAGACAATTTAAATGGGCGACTTGTAGGTGTCTGAATTATAGCTCAACAAAGCTATTATTACAAACCAGTTACTCCTTGGCCCACGTCTTCACCTCTAACCTTCCATCAGGCCAGTGCACTTGCCATATTTGAATGCAGATTTTACCGTGTGCCTTATGGAAGTTTCCACATAAGCTTTAAGTATTTTGTTGGACAGAAGCTGAGAGCAGAATGGACAGAGCTCTTCTAAGAACTGGGACCTGTGCTTTCCTGCATGGGCATTTGGATGTTTGATTCTAGGTCCTTATCTGGGCTTTAGGCAGATGAGGGTGCCAAATGAGGGACCACTGGCTTTTGATTTTAAAGACATTCCAAAGCTTGATGGTCACTTGTCACGCGCATCGCACCTTTATTTGCACATTTATGAGCTCCCTTCCTTTCTCACTGGGCTGGAGGGTAGAGGCTTCTCCTACTTCTCCCTTCCTTATGGAGGCCCCTGCCTGGGCAATAAAACTCCATTCCCCCTTTATTCCCTTCCCAGATAACATTTGTAAAGCTCTACAAGGTTACTGAGGCACCAAGCCTCAGCTTGCAGCAAACACTGTGGATCAGGTCACCATCCTCTTACTGTTGCCATCCTCACTCCTGAACACCCGGTGCCCTGACTGCTCATCAACTCCTGGAGCTTCTTTGCCGAGAGACTGATTGATTGATTGATTTTTTGAGACAAATTCTCACTCTGTTGCCTGGGCTAGAGTGCCGTGGCGTCAGCCTAGCTCACAGCAACCTCCAACTCCTGGGCTTAAGCGATCCTTCTGCCTCAGACTCCCGAGTAGCTGGGACTACAGGCATGTGCCACCATGCCTGGCTAATTTTTTCTATAAATATTTTTTAGTTGGCCAATTAATTTATTTCTATTTATAGTAAAGACGGGGTCTTGCTATTGCTCAGGCTGGTTTCGAACTCCTGACCTTGAGTGATCCACCTGCCTCAGCCTCCCAGAGTGCTAGGATTACAGGCGTGAGCCACCGCGCCCGGCCCTGCCAAGAGCTTTAGACGGGCTGCTCAGCACCACTTTCCCATGCCACGAAGTGTGCCACTGCTACTATCAGGTTGGTTCTGCCTCTTTTCCCTTTTAAACTTACTGATTTCCTAGGCTAGTAATTGGTCTATTATCCCGAGGTGTTGGCTGCCTGCTGCCCTGTTGTCTGCACATGCTGGTTCACGGTGGACGGTGCCCACTTGGTCACCAAGCATCAGGTGGTGCTCAGCAGGGGATTTGCAGCCTGGGATGGATCTTCATGTTAACCCCTTCTTACTGTTGGCCTCAGACAGTTCCCTTTCCTGGTGCTCTACGCACAGAGATTTCTTTTTCAAAATGGTATTCTATTTTGGCTACCATTTCCAAGTGTTTGTAGGAGAAAGGCCTAGCTCAGTCAACCGTGTTGTTAATGAAAAGACTTATGATCCAATTAGGCTCATTACTTTTATTTATAATCAGAAAACATTAACTTAAAAGAACCTAAACCATAACTGTTCTTTGCTGAAAACAAAAGAATACACATATCGTGTGCGTGTGTGTATTTTATTCTTTCATGAATGATGAAATTTTAACAAGGATAACGAGGCCTGTACTCTACTTACTTGTTCATTAGCAAAATAAAGTGTTAAGTAATTTAAAGCATGCTTCCTTATCTAATACACAGGAAAAAGAAAAACCCAGCGGCACATACAGCAATCTGCATGGGGCAGCCTGCACGGTACCTTTTGGCTCCCCCCGCGTCGGGTGACACGATGATGCAATTCCTCCACTCGGCGATGTTTTCCCGAATCCACTGCAGGACTGCGGGCTCCGCGTACAAATTATCCACAGGAATATCGAAGAATCCCTAAGGGGGAAGTGAGTGTCACTTTTTGCAGGGTTTTGTTTTGATTTTTTTTTTTAGAACAATACTCACCAGGGAGGATGGTTTGAAAATAAATAACATTTCATTAAATAACATTTGAATTTTTTATTCGAAAGGAGCCATTATAACAGATTCCCTTTTGTTAATTTTAACAGAATTAAATCAAAAGATAGATATGTTGCAGGGGCAGATTTCAGTCTAATCCATCTTTTGGGGTGTGTTGTATTATCTTACGATGGCCTATATTCTGAATAGAATGGCTTTATGGGGCAGTGAGTGAAAGCACCAATCACACACCAAATAGTTCACATTCTTGTTTTTTTTTTTTTTTTTTTTTGAGACAGAGTCTCGCTTTGTTGCCCAGGTTAGAGTGAGTGCCATGGCATCAGCCTAGCTCACAGCAACCTCAAACTCCTGGGCTCAAGCTGTCCTCCTGCCTCAGCCTCCCGAGTAGCTGGGACTACAGGCATGCGCCGCCATGCCAGGCTAATTTTTTCTATATATATTAGTTGGCCAATTAATTTCTTTCTATTTATAGTAGAGACGGGGTCTCACTCTTGCTCAGGCTGGCTTCGAACTCCTGACCTCAAGCAATCCACCCGTCTCAGCCTCCCAGAGTGCTAGGATTACAGGTGTGAGCCACCACGCTCGGCCAGTTCACATTCTTTAATGTCTCAAAGTGGGCATGGTATACTTTGGCCTGTTTTAGAGACAAAGGAACTAAGTTATGAAGAGGTTGAAGCATGTATATTATGACTCTGCCATTCTAATTATTTTCCAGAATTTGAGATAAAATTACATACCATTTCCTACCAAGAAGCCATTCCTACTCCTTTAAGCTTGATTGGAAGCAAAGTGGTGATAGAGACAGGTGGTATTAACATTGAATTATATTTCCAAGTTCAGTAAAGACAAAAATCCAAGAGTAGCCATGTACAAACTCAAACCTGAGTACCTCCTTCTAAACTTATTTATTTATTTATTTATTATTATTATTTTTTTTTAACTTTCCTCTTCTACTGGACTAAACTTATTTAAGTTAACAGAGAGCCAGGACTTCACCGTGTGCAGAAAGGCAATGCTGATACCTGTATCTGAGAGGCGTGCAGGTCCATGGTGATGATGTGATCCGCCCCAGCCACCGAGAGCATATTGGCCACAAGCTTTGCAGAAATTGGAGCACGACTCTAAAAAATACAGACACGGATTTTGTAACAGGGGAAGATGGATACTATTAGATTCCTGCCACTAAGATGTACATGACATCGCTAAATCACAGATGCAATCAACAAAACCTAAGAAAGAAAATTGCATATGTTGTAACAACAAAGGATATACTCGTTCCATTTGATTCAGCAAACATTTACTATTTATATACACTATTGCAAGACAATGTGTTTGACACTGGGTACACAGAACGGATATCAAAGAAGCAAACAAACATATAAGCATGTAATATCATAATTTGTAAAATTAAAATCATAATAAATGTGTAGAAGTAAAATAAAAGGTACCGAGAGAGAGATGATAGCAGGAAGGACATAAACTTTAAACAAGATGGCTGTTAGAAATCCCTTCAAGGAAATCGCTTTTAAGGCATGGCCAGCAAAAGCAGGGAGAATAGTGTTCTAGAAGGATGGAGTGGCATGTATGAGATCACTGAGACTGAAAGACCCTCAAATAGCCAGGAGCCGAAAGAAATCTAGCTATTGAAGAATTCGTGTACTGACAGTGTACTGGAAGCTAATGCTGTTACAAATGAAATAAAATGCAGGTTGGGCTATGCGTGAGGCTCACACCTATAATCTCAGCATTTGGAGAGGCTGAGGAGGGAGGACTGCTTGAGGCCAGGAGTTCAAGGCCAACCTGGGTGACAGAGAGAGACTGCCCCCATCTCTACAAAAAAATAGAAAAATTAGGTGGGCAAAGTGGCACATGCCTGTGGTCCCAGCTATTCAGGAGGTTGAGGCAGGAGTATAACTTGAGCCCAGGAGTCAGAGGGTGTCATGAGCTATGATGGTATAATTGCCTAGGGTGACAGAGACTCTGTGTTAAAAACAAACAAATGAAAATACCAGGTTGAGGAAAAAACACTTTAAAGGGATTGATAATTTAATATTTAGATGCATTGTCATTTACCAATACTGTATCCTTTTAAAAATTACCTAACTTCTCTATAGCTTTAGTTTCCACATCAATACATTATAGACAATAAAACTGTCCCCATCAAAGATATCCAAGAGACTATGTAGACTTATGATTTGATTAGACCTAAGTAGATTTCAGCATTTTGCTGTAAACAACAGTATTCCTATACACCAGCCACAAAAAAGAAAATATAAGCTTAAAAAGAGATTTCATTCGAAATAGCAACACTCATTTATACACACACACACACACACACACACACACACGCACACACAGAGTATATTCGTGTAAAAACACACAGAAAGGAATTCCATCAAAATGTTAACAGATTATTTGTATTTTCTCTATACATCATTCTTTTTTAAAAAAAAAATATGTTATCACCTTACAATAAAAATATGTATATACATATATATATTTTAAACACAAAAGAACGAGAGGAATCACCCCCAAAATGTTAACAGATGTTTCAATGCAGTGAGATTATGGGCAAATATTTCTCTCTCTCTCTTTTTTTTTTACTTTTTCAATCTTCTCTACTACTTACAGAGCATAACCCACGTTTTCATCATTTAACTCCTCTGTACTATGTTCCACATTGTCTTTGGAATGAAACCAAATTTTTGATGCCCTCTGGCCCTCCAAAGCCCTCTGGCCAGTCTGGCTGTAGTCTGCTGAGCACCGCTCCTCTCCCACGCCTCGGCCACAGGGACATTCCCTGCGGTCTGGCCTGGGCCTGCTCTCCCTTCTCTAGAGAACACTTTAAGCCTGGCAGTTTCACCCACATGCCCACCTTGTCCCCATTCCACCCCCATCTCTGCTGAGCCAACACGTTTGATCCTCCAGATCTATTTCAAACCTCCCAGTTTTAAGGCACCCCGAGAACTCCAGAAATAATCTCCTTTCTAAAGGGACACAGAATTGACTAAGCATTTGGCCCCTACCAAATCACCTTCTGATGCCTGCTGAAAGATCAACATTAGAAGATATATGTACAGATGTCATGGTTCACAACCAGACTATGTGTCCCTCAAGGGCAAAAAATAGGTTGTGGAGATTTTCATATAATCTGCAGCAAGCAGCTCTGTCCCTTGCATACAAAAGCTCTTAAATAAATATTTAATAACAGAATCTCTATAACACCAAATTTCCAAGGCTTAGTCATTAGCCTCATTGATTGAGAGAATTATTTAGTCTAACAAAGTTCCAGGAAAATAAAAAGAACAAATTGGTCACTGTGACCTCTTTGTAATAGAACCTGACTCCCAACGCTAATCAATTTCAGGCCCATCCTCTAATTTTATAACCAGCTGCTAAGCTTTGAATGTGGCTCCTCCAAAATTCAGGTGTTGCCAGTGTGATAGTATAAAGAGATGGGGCCTGCAAGAGGTGATTAGGCCCTGAGGGTTCCACCCTCGAGAATGAGATTAAGGCCCTTCTAGAAGAACTTGCCCTTCTGCCACGTAAGGCCAACATTCTTCCCCTCCGAAGGATGCAGCCATCACCAGACACCAAATGCCAGTGCCTTGGTCTTGCACTTCCAGCCTCCAGAACTGCAAGAAAATAAATTTCTGTTCTTTGTAAGTTACCCTGTCTGTGGTACTTTGCCATAGCAGCACAAACGGAATAAGACACCTGCGAAAAGAATCCTTTGTTCTTATCTCTCCTCAGTGGCATCAAGCGTTTTGTTACTTCTGGGATCCAAACCACAGGAGTAATTTCTAAATTCACACTTTCTGATTTCCTTCTTCAAACCTTGTTTACAAGTTTGGGTTTTGTACTGTGTTTCAGAGTTTGGCTCGTACCCAACTGAATCTTGCAGGAAGAATGATTTATAAATTAGCTGGCTTTATAGCCTACATAGAGAAAAATTAGTAAAGGAGCATTTAAACAAAGGTGGACTCAAGATACAACAGCTAAAAATAAAACTTTCGGCTCTCCTAGTGAAAAATGTATAAAAGTCAAATGTTTTGCAAGTCAACTCAATCATGACAAAGACTCTCAGGATATTCCAGATCTTATTCAATGCATCAAATGCCATCTTGCTAAAAGTGTAAATTTGACAAGAGTTAAAAAAAATTTACAAGATTGTAGAAATTCATGTCAGGGAAAATGGTTCTTAATTTCCCTGGTTAAAAAAAAAAAAAGAAACAATTTTATTGAAAAGAATATGACCTACAGGAATCTTCTAGGTCAATAAAATAAGAAAATAAATGTAAAAAAAAAAAAAGAAAAAAAGCAAGAAAGAAGATGAAAAGAACATGACCTTGAAAATGATTTTGAAAGAAAAAAAAGAAAGTCTCAAAGCTACAAGTCCTCTACTGCCTGCAGATGTAATTATTTCCAGCCTCATCCACAACCTACCATTTTTCCCAGGGAAGGGAACTTGTGATTATTGAATGCCTACTATAGCAAGGGCCAGCAAATTAGGGACCGTAGGACAAACTTGGTGGACAACCTGCTTTGTACAACACAGCACGCCCATTCATTTACGTATTGGCTATGGCTGCTTTCACACTAAAATGGGACAGGTGGCTGGGCATGGTGGCTCCAGCCTGTAATCCCAGCACTTTGGGAGGCTAAGATGAGAAGATCATTTGAGACCAGCCTGGACAACATAGCAAGACCCTGTCTCTACAAAAAATAAAATTGAAAAAAAAAATCAGCCAGGCACAGTGGCTTGTACCTGTAGTCACAGCTATTCAGGAGGCCAAGGTGGGAGGATTGCTTGAGATCAGGAAGTTCGAGGTTACAGTGAGCTATGATCGCTCCACTATACTCGAGCCTGGGAATTCCCTTTTCAATAAGTTTGGAGAAAGAATGAAATCATCTCCTTACTATAATACACGCTGACTACACAGACATATCAGAAATAATGGTGCCAGAACAATATACATTGTCTTGGCCATTTCCAAGGGCAGTCCAGAGGCTAGAGACCTATACAGAGAGGGTAGCCAAGTCACAATTGCCCAGGACAGCCTGGGTGGACACTTGTTTCCTATCATGGTTATTCATAAAGCCCCCTTTCAATCTCGAAAGTGTTCTGACTTAGATAATAAATGATATGATAACAATAATATCGCCAAGCTTGAACTGTCCTCAAAAGGTTCATTGCTTGACATGTCAATGACTTCCTTTAAGTCTCCCAGTGTGGGCTGAATGGTGGCCCCAAAAGTATCAGAGCTCAGTCCCTGGAACCTATAAATGGAACCATATTTGGAAAGAGGGTTTCTGCATGTGTGATTAAGTTAAGGATGCCGAGATAGAGAGATTATCCTGGATAATGCAGGTGGGCCCCAGATGCTATCACACGTATCCTTTAAAGAGACAGTTTTGACAGAGACAAAAGAGGAGAGGGCCACGTGAAGATTCAGGCAGAGATTGGAGTGCTATGGCCTCCAGGCAAGGAACACTGGAGGACAGTGGCCACCAGGAGCTAGAGGAAGCAAGAAAGGACCTCCCCTAGAGCCTCCAGAGACAGCGCCACTCTGCCAACTCCTTGATTTTGGACCTCTGGCCTCCAGAACTGTGATTCCTTCTTTCCTCCCCGTGTTATCTAACAATAAGCCACACGGCTTCCTAGGCCAGTACAGGCGCTGTCCCTCGGATGTCAGCAGTCTCGCTGGGAAGGAGGAAACATACTTACAGCAAAGTGGTTAAAGAAAGGGTGGAAGGAAGGAAAGAAACACGTGTTCGCAATGGGCCAAAGCAAAAAGACACATCTAAGGGTCTAACAATAGGAAAACTGGTAATAGCTAGTCAGACAGTGCAGTTCCACAAAACAGTTAAAGCCACTGGGGTTTTTAGAAATCTGTAGGGCTCTTCTTGTAGCACAATAGCTGGGGGCACTGCTGGCAACTAGGGGACAGAGGCCGGAGAGCCAGCACACCCTCTGCAATGCAAGGGGTGGGGGCAGACAGTGCTGGTTTCTCCATATTACAAAGACTTCCTTATGAATAAAAATAAGAAAAAAATTTGAAACTGTTGGGGAAAAAAGTTACTGCAGATCGGATACATGCACACAAAAAATGTAGCGAGGTCTCAACATTTGGATCAGTTCAAGATGAACTTGGGCCATGCAATGACAAAAAGAACAATTTACTAAAGAAGATGCAATCCGGCTGGGCGCGGTGAGGCGGGAGGATCGCTCAAGGTCAGGAGTTCGAGTCCAGCCTGAGCAAGAGCGAGACCCCATCTCTACTAAAAAAATTGAAAGAAATTAATTGGCCAACTATATAGAAAAAATTAGCCGGGCATGATGGTACACGCCTTTAGTCCCAGCTACTGGGGAGGCTGAGGCAGAAGGATCGCTTGAGCCCAGGAGTTTGAGGTTGCTGTGAGCTAGGCTGATGCCACAGCACTCTAGCCCGGGTAACAGAGTGAGACTCTGTCTCAAAAAAAAAAAAAAGGAAGAAGATGCAATCTATCAAATATCTTAGAGCCAAAAACAAAACACAAAACTTACTGGAAGTGAAAGAACTTGATTAAAAATACAGCTACAGTGAGAACTGACTAAACCTCTTGCCACATGGATGAGAAATCGTGACAGAAAATTAGCTACTTTATGACATGGACAAGGAGGAAGATGCTAAGCGATCCTTTGGAAACACACAGATGGGAGGAATAATTAAAACAACAGATTATACGGATGGGACAAAATTTAAAAATTGAAATTTAGCAGCTAAAAATATTAATACCCATAAAACTTGAGAATCAAGTTTAAAATAAAAGAAGCTGTATAAATACCAAGTGGGAGGACATGGCTCCACGTCGGCATATGCAACCTAAGGTTTTGGCTGCACAAGCTCAAGTTTAAGTCACAAATAAGTCACAGATAAACACACATAAAAGACTCAAATGCAAGGATTAGCAAACTGTGGCCCATGGGCCAAATCTGGCCAGCCACTTGTTTTGGTACTGCTTATGAGCTAATGGTGGCTTTTACACGTTTAAATGGTTGAAAAAAAATTCAAAAGAATAATATTTCACGGCACGTGATAATGATATGATATTCACATTTGAGCATCCATAAATAGTTTTATTGGACTACAGCCATGCCTGTTGATTTACGTATTGTCTGCCACTGTTTCTGAGGTACAACCAAGTTGAGAAGTTGCATCAGAGACTATACATCCATTTACAGAAAAAGTATCCTGAGTCTTCTAACATAGGGTAAATCATATCACAAGTGTTGGATGGAGTTCTAGAGATCAAATTTTAAGTGAGAAATTAACTGACTAGCCACTGTCAACACAGGGAATGGAAACTGAACCTGAAGAAGCTGAGATTAAAATTCAGGGGGACCAGGCGCGATGGCTCACGCCTGTAATCCTAGCACTCTGGGAGGCCGAGGCAGGTGGATCGTTTGAGCTCAGGAGTTCGAGACCAGACTGAGCAAGAGCTAGACCCTATCTTTACTAAAAATAGAAAAATTAGCCTGGCATGGTGGCACATGCCTGCAGTCCCAGCTACTTAGGAGGCTGAGGCAGGAGGATCACTAGAGCCCAGGAGTTGGAGGTTGCAGTGAGCTATGATGACACCACTGCACTCTAGCCAGCGCAACAGAGCAAGACTCTGTCTCAAAAAAAAAAAAATTCATGGGGACCTTGGTAAATGAATTTAAATTTATAAAGAGATTTTTTACCCAGATATTATGGAATCTCGTGTGCTGTTTCAGAAATTTGCATTGTTTCAGAAATGAATTACAGGGATCAATGACAGTATATTGGGGGAAACCTTTCTCACAATTAATTACCAAATCTCAAAACAGCAGTGTGTCTTTTAAACTGGCAGGAATTCATGCTGAGCCCGACTGAACATCTACTCGTAAGATGTAGAGTAGACAATGGCTTGGAGTTGAGCCCGGTAGTAGGTCAAATGGCATTCCCCGAAAACTCATGTCCACCCACAACTTCAGCACGTAAGCTCATTTTGGAAACACCTTTGCAGATGTAACCAAGGTGAAGATCAAGATGAGATCATTCTGGATTAGGGCAGGCCTGAAATGCAATGACAGTATCTTTATAAGAGACACAGGGAAGAGGCCATGTGAAGACAGAGACAGAGACTGGAGGAATGCGGCTGCAAACCAAGGAATGCCAGAAGACACTAGAAGCTGGAACAGGTGAGAAGCATCCTCCCCGAGAGCCTCCAGAGGGAGTGTGGCCCTGCCCACACTTGGTTTCAGACTTCTGGCCTCTGGGGCTATGAGGGAATAAATTTCTGCTCTTTGAAGCCACCCAGTTTATGTAATTTGTTACAGCAACCCTAGAAAACAAATACAGTCTCTTTTAAAGCTCCCCAATTTGGGGAGCATTGTAGATTCACATGCAGTTGTAAGGACCAACACAGGCATCCTGTGGACCAAAGACTCAGGGACTTCCCATGGTAACATCTTGCAAAACTATAGCATAAGATCACCACACCAAGACACTGCCATTGATTGACACAATCCAGTGATCTGATTCAGATGTTCCCCAGTTTGACTTGTACTCCTTGAGGGGGTATGTCCGTGTGTATGTATTTAGTTCCATCCACCACAACAAAGATATACAACATACAACAATTCCATCCAACAAGGGCAATAAAGGTATTTTAATAGCCCATAAAAATATGCTTTATCTATTTCTATATTTATAAATATTAACATTAGGGTCAGTTCAAAGACAAATCCTAAAAAAAAAAAAGGTAAGTATATTTACTTGATCATTAAAAGAAAAAGCCAATATGTTCCAGATATTCTAATCCAAGGGATATGTGAGTGAAAAAAGTTCACAGTGACCAGACCAGGTTCCCAAGGGAGGACACAACTCTCCTACCTTGTCCTTTTTATCTTGTCGAGCATATGGAAAACACGGGATCACAGCCGTCACCCTGGACGATGACGCAATCTTGCAGGCATTGATCATGATGAGGAGTTCCATCAGGTTGTCATTAATTTCTCCACAGCCACTCTGGATGATGTAGACATCTTCCCCTCTCACGCTTTCACCAATCTCCACGCTAGGAAAAGAAAAAGGCCAGTGATTACTATTAAAGCATATATGTGTCTTGTGGGTCCCTGAGACCATCCCCGGTTTGATGATCACCAGGATGACTCACAGGACTCCGCATACAGCTGCTCTCATGGCTTTGATTTATTGCAGGGAAAGGACACAGAGAAAAACCAGCTACGGGGAAAAGCACATGGGGCGGAAGTCGGGCACAGCTTCCAAGAGTCCTCCCCCAGGGGATACTAACGTCCCCAGGAGTGAGCTGTGACAACATGTGTGAAATAATGTCTACCAGGGAAGCTCCTTAGAGACTCAGCACCCAGGATTTGTATTGGGGGGTGGTCACGTCAGCATCATCTAGCAGGTACCAAAATGCCAGACTTATAGGCATTCAGCATAAATCACATTATCAATTGTTGGAAAGCACACACAGTGAGCCATTCTTACCAGGGACCGGCAGGAACCCTTCACAATCTAAGCCCCCAGAGGCAAGCCAAGGGCTAACCTTGCAAGCATGCCTTTCTAAATCTCAGGCCTGCTATATTAATTCTTCTGTAAAATACTATATTTTAGTTTTTTTATTCTTATTAAAGTTATACATGTGCATTGCTTAAAAAATTCACTCTGTGAGGCTTATAACAGATAAGACAATCCAGAGGCAACCAATTTCAACTCTGGATATGGCTTTTAGATATTTTCCTTCAATTCTCTAGCTAGTATGCATGTATTCCTGTGTCTTGATTTTTCATTTTAGGCATCACGTACTGACTTCTCACTATGGAAGATGAGGATTTAACTCCATTTCCTCTCGGTCCCATCATTTGCACGCACCCTTCCCATCTCACCATCATGCCCATATAGGACAATACTCAAACTAAAGAGCGACTGCCTCATCTCATCTTAACTGTGTAAGTGCTGCTCAGAGCTCAGCCATGTGTAACAGTAAACTTAAACCAATGTTTATATTTTCCTTTCATGTACAACGTTTTTGTTGTCTGGGGAGGTAACTATCTTATCTTTTTATCTGTTGAGTTTTCTAAGTACTGAATCCAGCCAGATTCTACCCTAAGCACTTCACTAACAATCTAAAATGCCCCAAGGTCAGAGGCCTCAGGTCCCATCTGCATGTCACTGTCCTACAGATGTCCCTCTCAGGGGTGGGTGACCTGGGTGATCTTTCTGCCAGTGCACAGCTGCCATCCGGGGATTCCCTTCACCCCTCTCCTGCGCTTGATTTCCCATTTTCTGTATCCTCTTTCTTGGCGTACTTCCTTGTTTTGCTGGTTGGCATCCTTCTGTAGCTTCTTGAGAAAGAGTAAATAGGAGCTAATTTTTTTTGAAAATTGCATGTCTGAAAATTTCTGTATTTCTAGGTATAGAATTGTGGATGTTCCACATGACAGGGCCAGCCCATCCCTGGTATTTGCCTTTTGTGGGAAGAAAAGCAAAATAGTTTGCTCAGTAAGGCCCTTCACAGAGCACTGCATCAGAACCAAGAATATGGCTAGCTCTGCTATGCACTTGTTTTGAACAGGCAAATTTGTTCCAATGATTGATATATTTGGAGCAATTTGAGTATAACATGAATTTTGCATTTTATTATGCATGACTCTTATCCTGAGATAAGAATGTGGAAAACTGCGCTGCGCCCAGCTAAATGGAGCCACTTGGAAATACACAAACGTGCACACGTGTACACCTCTTGAGGGCAATGAGCCATATCCATTCACATTTGGTATGACGACTTTCTGGGAGATTTCAGAGAACCTTCCTTCTATTACTTCACCATAACTCAAAAGCTGCAACCCCCTGAAACTCCCTTCCACAAGCAAATTGCAGGTATTTTTCAATGGAAAGTGCCCCATTTGTTGTAGTATTTATGTATTTTTTAAACACACAATAACACGTAGAAGTGTTTTACCGTTTTTACAGATTGAGTATCCTTAATCTGAAAATCTGAAATTTGAAATGATCCAAAATTGGAAAGTTTTTGAATGCCAACATTTTTCCTTTGATGTTCGAAGGAAATGCTCATTGGAGCATTTTGTATTTCAGGTTTTTGGATTTGGGATATTCAACCGGTAAGCACAATGCAAATATTCCAAAATCCAAAAAAAATCTGAAATACAAAATACTTCTGGTCCCAAGCATTTCTGATAAGGGATACTCAACCTGTATTGTATTCTCATGTTTTTTTATGTATCCCTGAGAAAGTTTTTGAATGTTGTGCCCCAACCTCATTTTTCTCCTAAGCCCCATGGTTTTTAATTACACGATTTTGCATAGTATGGCAATTTTTAGCAATACGTATGTCATATTACAGCAGAACTGGCTGTAAATGTATTCATCCAAAAATGAAATACAATGAATCCTATTTTAAAATTACAAGTGAGGCACATGAATAATCACCCTTCGCCCTTCTCTATCAGATACTCAATAAAATTTGTTTTATTAAAAATGCCAATTATAGCTAATGAAAATTTAAAAACAAATCAACATTTAAGATAACCATGTAGTCTATCTGAATCAACAGAAACTTATACCCAACTTCAGGTAGACTAATTAGAAGATAAAAATGAAGTTTTTCAAGTTGGCATGTTCTAAAAATCAGTTTTGATAACATCCAGTCATGTTCTTGCATGCTCTCTACTATGGATAAAAATGGTACAATGCCAACCTCTCAGGATGAGAGACAAAAAGAATTTGATGGGCTCCCTCCATTTCAAGTTCTAAGGAGCTAAATGTACTTTCTTTGTGAACATTACATCAACCAAGGGATGAACTTAATTTGGAAACTATTATGGTTTGAATATATATATCCCCCAAAGTTCATGTGTTGGAAATTTATTTATTTATTTTTTTGAGACAGAGTCTCACTCTGTTGCCTGGGCTAGAGTGCTGTGGTGTCAGCCTAGCTCACAGCAACCTCAAATTCCTGGGCTCGAGCGATCCTTCTGCCTCAGCCTCCCAAACAGCTGGGACTATAGGCATGTGCCACCATGCCTGGCTAAAATATATATATATATATATTTTAGTTGTCCAGCTAATTTCTTTCTATTTTTAGTAGAGATGGGATCTCCCTCTTGCTCAGGCTGGCATGTGTTGGAAATTTGATCCTCAATGTAACAGTGTTGAGAGGTAAGACCTTTATGAGGTACTTGTACTTAGATAACACAGGCTCTGTCTTCATGAATAGATTAATGTCATCGTGGGAGTGAGTTTGGTCCATAAGCAAGTTTGGCCCTCTGTTGCTCTCTTGCATATGCTGTTTTACCCTTCCACCCTTTGGCCATGGGATGACCACAGTAAGAATATCCTTGCCAGATGACAGCCTCTCAATCTTGGACTTCTCAGCCCCTAGAACTGTGAGAAATAAATTCCTGTTGTTCATAAATGACCCAGTCTCAGGTATTCTGTTATAGCAGCACAAAATGGACTAAGACAGAAATCAAGTACAGTATTATATAGCTCAGGGGTCAACAAAAGTACAGTGCACAGCCTGTTTTCACATGGTCTGTGAGCTAAGAATAGTGTGGCAGGCAGAACAGTGGCCCCTCAAAGATGGCCAAGTCCTAATCCTTTGAATATGTTAGTTTACATGGCAAAGGGGAAGTAAGTCTGAGGATGAAATTAAGGTTGCTAATCAGATGACCTTAACATAGGGAGATTGTCCTGAATTATTTAAACTGGTCCAATGTAATCATAAAGGTCTTTAAAAATGGAAGGAAACAAGAAGTAAGAATCAGAGAAAGAGATGTGATGACTCAAGTGGGGTCAGAGAGACTTTGTTGCTGGCTTTGAAGGTGGAAGAAGTGGCCAATAGTGAAGGAATGTGGGCTGCCTCTAGAAACTGGAAAAGGCAAGGGAATGGATTCTCCTCTAGAGCCTCAGAAGGAAATGCAGCCCTTCTTAGCTATGACGGACTTCCAACTTACAAAACCGTAAGATACAGCAGCAACACAGACTACACGTGGCCAGCAATGCCTAAAATATTTATGATCTGGCCCTTTAGAGAAAAACTTTGCCAACTCCTGGTCTTATGACTGTTTATCCCACAAGATCAGATTCTTTGGCCTGTTTTTCCTCAGGAACCTAAATCCTCATATGACTAGCAAGTCCAGGGAAGGACACAGTGTACCATCACCAAGGCAATGTTTTTTCCAAAGCTAGTCCTGCTTCCACTCAAAAATATGATCGTGATTATCTTTATTCTAGGTTTTTATAAAACTGTAGATAGAAGGCAGCATCCATTTGCTGCTCAGCCAGAGGATCTTTACTGACCCCCAAATAAGAAGGTTGAAGAGTATAACTGACTCAACAATGAATGAGTATGGTAATTAAAAGATGGTCACAGACCCTTTAACACTTTTCCCATAAGAAGTGGGTCTAGTCCCCTGTCCTCAAATCTGGGAGGACTCTGTGCTTGACCAACACAATGTGACAGAAGTGATGATGCACCGACTTCCAAGCCCAGGCCTTAATAGACTGGTAACTTCCACTTTCTGTCCTTTGGAACACTCGCTCTTAGAAGTCAGCTTCCATGCTGTAAGGAAGCTCAAGCAGCCCAGGGAGAGGTCCAGGGGAAGAGGAGCTAAGGTTCCCAACCAAGTTCCCAGGCAAAAGCTAGTACCAGCTTAAGTGGATCCTCCAGCCCCAGTTAGCCACCCCAGCTGCCATCACATGGGGCAGAAACAAGCCTTTGGTGAGCCCTGCCCAAACTGCAGATATGTGAGCCAAATAAGTAATTATTATTTTAAGCCCCTAAGTTCTGGGGTGATTTGTTACACAGCAATAAATAACCAGAACCTTCAGTCTCACAGTACAGCCAACCACTCAGCCAGCAGGTTAACTGACCAGTACAAGATGTTAAACAGACTTCCAGACACAATCACCAATGCTGTCCTAAGACATCACCATGGGATTTCTATGGTCTATAGTAAAGATGAAGCAGACCTCTCTCCCTGCATATCTGAAATGATTTAGAGAGAAAGTAAAATCAGGAGGCTCCACGTCTGGTAAGTAGTGTATTAAAAATGTGAAATGGGAGGACTGATGACCAGGAGACAGGAAACCAGATTTCTGATCCTGGCTCAGGGAGAGATTCAGACAGATGTCCCTTACATGAATTGAATCAGTTTTCTCTTCCTTTTGCCCTTCAGTTTCTCATCTCTGGGACCATACAGTAAAAACTGGATTACTAGCACAGTACCTTGTTGGGAGAGGACCATTTGTAAAAATCAACCTCTGTACCTGTACAGTTCATGGAAAAGAGAAAAGTCAGGAAGTTAACCTTTTATATTCTTCATATTAAAAACATAAAATGTAACTCTTTGCAAAAAAACAAAACGAAACAAAACATGCTATGTAGCTACATAAGCAATTCCCAGACTTCACGCTGAGTGGGTTTTGAGACCTCATGACTTCTAATTATCAAGCGATGGTTATAATACTCAAAAACAAATAAAAATGAATCTGCTTTATATTTAAAACAAACATATAAACAATCATATTTCAATGTCTGAGTTTCGTATAACAGCACATACAGTATTTTTAGTAGAAATCCAACACTGACTTAGCAATAGACTGATCTAGATTAACCCATGCTCTTTAGCAAAGGGTTGTGGTGCACTGAGAACATGGAAGGACAACATATTTGCTTTCAAAATCCACTTTCTCCAGAAATTTCTCCTTTACTTATATGATAACACCTTCTTAAGAGAAACTATTATTCTTCTTGTGTTCTTAAAGCCAGTAAAATTTGAACAGGACTGGCAAAATATTATAACATTCATACCTACCTCTTATTCTTCTCCAGAGCCCTAGACCATCCTCCCAGACTTATTAAACTCTGCGAAGTGGAATTCTTTAGCCGAAGTTCTCTTGGCAGTAATACCATCTGCCACTCATTTCTTCACTAATATTATTATCAGAACCATGTAACTGGAATTTGCCACCTCGAAGAAATCACATAGGATTCACATATCCTTTTAACTCACCAAGAAATAGCATCTTGGCCATCAGCATGAATTCACTAAGAAATTTTCGCTTAATCCAAAGTCATCAAGATTTTCTCCTATGCTGTCTTTTAGAAATTTTAGTTTTAGATTTCACATCTAGGTCTACAACCCATTTCAAGTTAATTTTTGTAAATGGTGGAAAGTATGGATGGAAATAAGTTCATTTGTTTGCATATGCTGTCCAACTGTTCCAGCATCATTTCTTGAAAATGTTGAATTGGATCTTTGCCAAAGATAAAAAAAAAAAAATTATCAGTAACAGTGCCAGACATTTGAGGGAGAGGGGGAAAAATGAGACCAACTTGAAATTAGTCAAAGAGCTTTGAGGACTCAGGCAGGTGGAGAAAGGAGCCCCCCAGCCCAGGTTCTGAGAAGGGTCATCGCCTGACGGCATTTAGCAGAGGAGACCATTTCTCCTGGACTTGAGAAATGGGTGGAAGTTACACTCGAATCATGGCCTTGCTGCTGGACACAGCAGAGACTCAGAACCAAAAAGGGACTGAAAAGCCATCATCTTTGAAACGGCCAAAGTAGAGGAAGCACAGGGGAGCCCAGCACGTGCGCCCTGGGGTTCTCTCACTTTTTCAAACCTTTGCACAACAGCAACCTCTGGATTGCTTAGTGGTTTACACACTGGCTGCTCAGGAAAATCACCTGGACAGTTGTAAAAACCCTGATCCTCAGCGGGTTGGATCAGACCCCCCTGGGACAGGCCCAGGAAGCAGTATTTGAACAGTCCCCAGGTAAAGCTGGTGCACAGCCAGGGCTGGGGACGTGGGCGGAACCTTTGGCACCTCGCACCGGCCTGGGGTTCAGCCCTGCAGGGACGCAGAACTGGGACCATCAGACCCAGGGGCGGCCCTCCACCAAGCGCGGCACCGATGCGGTTCCCGCCGGCTGCGCCCACTCTCTCCCCGACGGTCTGTGACCTCCCAGATGTCGCCTTTATGGGCTAGCGACATCAGGCCAGGTGGCGCCGCGAGGAAGCCAGGAGCACCTTGGGGCCGCCGGGTCGCCATGGTCCCAGGAGGCCCTGACGCCAGGGGCACAGCCAGGTCGCGCACCGCGACTCGCGGGCGCCCCTCCTCGGCTTTTCCCCTGGCGCGAGCGCGGTGGCGCGGAGGCCGCGTTGCCGCCGTCCCGCCCCGGAAGGGGGAGCGTGGTGGCCACCGAGGTGGCCGAGGCAGGCGCCGGCCCCGGCCCGGCCCCACGGCCGCGCGCCCAGCCCCGTCCCCCCACGCAGCCCCACCTGGTCTCTTGGTTGCTGAACTTCTTGGTGACCACCTTGCCCAGCTCCAGGCCCAGGCGGTCGGCCACGCGCTGGGACAGGTCCTGGTGCGAGCTGCCGCTGAATAGCACGATGTTGGGCATGGCGGGACGCGGGGCTCTGAGGAGCGCACGGCGGAGGCGAGGCGGCGGCAGAGGCGACGGCGACAGCCACAGCCACAGCGACGCAGACGGCTGCTGGCGCTGGAGCGGGAAAGCACGGCAGCTAAACCTAGGGAAGGGGAGGAGCCGAAGGAGGAGCCCGGGGAGGAGCTGAGGGAGGAGCCGAAGGAGCCGCTGGGGGTGCTGCCCGCGCCGCCGGGGCGGCAGCTGGGAAGCCCTGGGTGGTCCCGGAGCACTGAGGTGTGCTCGCTCAGCGGGAGAGCTGCTAGCCCGGTTCTTGACCTTGCTGACCTGCCTGGCAAGGGAGAGCCAATGAACCAAGACTAACTGGGCACAGACGGAGAGCGCAGGAAGAGGTGATGGAGGTGCCTCTCAGCCAGGAGCAACCCCCCGGAACACCCCAAACCCAACGCGGACGACTGGTGTTCAACTACAGCAAGGGTCTGCGAACTGTGGCCCTGGCCCGTGAACGTTTGAGGTTTGTGTGATGGTAGCATACACCACCCTCGAACTCCAGTTAAACATCACCCTTGAACTCCAGTTAAAAGAAATATTCCCTTCAAAAGAATTCCTTTTCTCTCATTAGTAGATGTGTTACAAATAATTTTATACTCAAATATTAATATATTTTGGGTTATGTCAATAAGAACATTGCGAATAATTTGTTTTCTCTCTTGTTATATAAGTATCTACATAATATCTTTTGCTTCTTTGCCTGCAAAGCCTAAAATTTTTTATTTATTTATTTTTCTGAGACAGAGTCTCACTCTGTTGCCCTGGCTAGAGTGCCAGGGCGTCAGCCTAGCTCACAGCAACCTCCTGGGCTCAAACTCCTGGGCTCAAGCGATCCTCCTGCCTCAACCTCCCAAGTAACTGGGACTACAGGCATGTGCCACCATGCACATGCCTGCTAATTTTTTCTATATATTTTTGGTTGGCCAATTAATTTCTTTCTATTTTTTGTAGAGACGGGGTCTCACTCTTGCTCAGGCTGGTTTCGAACTCCTGACCTTGAGCCATCCTCTCGCCTCGGCTTCCCAGGGAGCTAGGATTACAGGCGAGCCACTGCGCCCAGCCAATCCTAAAATATTGACCATCCAGTCCTTAACGGTTAAAATTTGCTCATCCCTATACTACACAGTTGCCCTGTGTTCTTGAAAAATCCAGCAATGCCGGCCACCACCTGAGCCCTGACCACAGGTGGAGGTGAAGGGTGGCCTGTGGGATCAAACCAAGTCTCCCCAGATTCCTCATTTTTAGGTAGATGTGGTGGTCCTTGGACCAGCTTCACAATCTCCCACTTTTCTCAAGGGCCTGATCCCAGAAACACAAACTGTCGCAGACAGTCACCCTGGCTCAGTCCCTCCATATCCCTGGAGTCAGGTCCTCTTTCCCCACCTCTTGTGCTAGAAACCAGCAAAAAAGTTTTTCCAAGAAACTAATGCAGTCCCAGGACCAAACTCTGGACACAAACCAAGTGTAGGGAAAAAAAAAAATGCATTCCATTTCCATGGAGGGCTAGGAGTGTCACTGTCACTGCTCACAGTTTCCCACTCCTCAACAAAAGATAGATTCAACCAGATAGAGAAATGGCTAGGTTTTATTAATACTAACGTTTGCCAAGAATTGGCTCTTCGTCAACAGTGAAGCCCACTTACAGTTGAGTTGTAGCCTACCCTAACCTGATTTCATGTTACTGGGATTTGGAAGATTATTGGGGTTATTCATATCATTGGGAATTTTCATCTGGGTCCTTGTACTTTGCAAATGAGATTACCCTGCACATCAAGTGTTTCTTTTAAACTCTCATATCTGCCTGCCTACCAAAAAGTTGTTCAAAGCAACAATTTCAGCAGCATTTCGGGCCCTTTTTCATTCTGCCTAGAGACATGTATGCGCCCTATTATATAAGAAAACAAACCAAAAAACCCCTATCTGCAATGATTTCTTATCTATATATTTCACGGTTAATTCCTGTAGCAATGATATTTATACTCTACTGTATGGCTAAAATTTTTATTGAATGAGTCTGCTAATGTAATTATATGTAAACTCTCCTAATAAAATTTACTATCAGCAACATTACAAATTTTTATGTCCTTAAAATTCTCTCATAGATGAAATTGACTGATAATGGACTTCCTCTGAATACATACATGTTCTTCTCAAAGAAAAATGATTTCCTGTTAGACCGTGGTGGGGCCACAGGTTGTTTGATAAAAAGGTTGACAGACTATAAAACAGTGTAAGTTAAAGCCCATGGTCTCCAGATGGGTTAACGGATGAAGATTTGGAAGCTAATATTGAATTGTGACAAACCATGACCTTGACAGCACCGGAGAGAAGCAATATCTGGGCTGGGGCAACTAATTCAATGGTTGTTGGTTCAACAGTCTGATGAGTTACTCTGCTTACATGCTGAGTGTAAGTAAGGGGAAATGTGCCATTGGGATCGATGAGAATATTAATGGGAATCATTGAAAATCATCACAAGCAGCAAACTGTTCAGAAAGCTGTCACTGGGGCCGGGCGCGGTGGCTCATGCCTGGAATCCTAGCACTCTGGGAGGCTGAGGCAGGCGGGATCGCTCAGGTCAGGAGTTCGAAACCAGCCTGAGCAAGAGTGAGACCCCGTCTCTACTAAAAATAAAAGAAATTAATTGCCAACTAAAATATTATATAGAAAAAATTATCCGGGCATGGTGGCACATGCCTGTAGTCCCAGCTACTTGAGAGGAGGATTGCTTGAGCCAGAGTTTGAGGTTGTGTGAGCTAGGCTGAACCACCATGGGCACTCGTAGCCCAGGCAACAGGAGCAAGACTCTGTGAGGAAGAGAAGAAAGAAAGAGAGAGAGAGAGGAGAGAGGAAAGGGGGCGACGCGGGCGGGGAGGGACTGGGGACCGGGACGGGAGAGAGGGGGGGGGAAGGCGTGGAGCCCGCCGGGCGGGGGGCTCGGACCGAGAGGAGAGAGAGAGAGAAGAAAAGAAAAGAAAGAAAGAAGAGAAGAAAAAAGAAGACAAGAGGAGAAAAAGAACGAAGGAGAGCAAAAGAACGGAAGATCAAGCAGAAGAGGACAAAAGAAAAGAAACAAGAAAGCTGTCACTGGACAGGCTTAAAAGGGAGCTATAGATGCTTTTAGTGTGAACTTTCCCTCCCAAACCCCTTTATCCTTGGTCCATAGGAACCAGGTTGTGGGGAAACCTTGATCTAGAGCAGGTTTCTCAACCCCAGCACAGCTGACAATTGAATTGAGTAATTCTTCGTGGTGGGGCTGGCCTGTGCATTGTAGGATATTTAGCAGCCTCACTGGCCTCTACCCACTAGATGCCAGTAGCACTTGTCCACCAGTTCTGACAACCAAAGGTGTCTCTAGACATCGTCAAATCACCCTGGGTTGAGAATCACTTGTCCGAATGAAAACCTGGTCCTTTTCTCTTCCATGCGGGCCTTTCCTCATGGCTGCTCAGGCTTCCTCACAGTATGGCTGCAGGGTTGCAAGAAGGAGTATTGCAAGAATATAAGCATCAACGAGCAAGTGCTTATCAAGCCTCTGCTTGTTAAGCAGAGGCTTAATAGCAATCTGCCTTGCTAATGTCCCATTGGCCAAAGCAAGTTACATGGCCAAGGTCAACATGGCATGGGACAACAGAAGGGCATGAATAACTAGGTCCACCAATGGACTACAACAGTGCACTACTTCTTTTTTTTTTTTTGAGACAGAGTCTCGCTATTGCACTACTTCTTGAATGAAATGTGAAGTTAAAGGAGCCTCCTAGAAAATACAACACATGTTCAAAGACTCAAGATTCAGAAGAGAAAAAGAACATATACTCTGTATATGTGATCTCAGATCTCAGAACTACTATAAAATATTCATTAAGATAAAATTTTAGTGGAAAAAAATGATGAGATAATTTTTATTATCAACTTCTATCTTTATTGACTCATGGACAAGGATAAAATGGAAAAACAATAATTTGAATCTGTGGACAGTTTCACATCTTATATTTCTCCTACCATTTAGCCAAGTTCTTGGTATATAGTATGAACTTTAAATATTTGCTGAATTAATTTATTCCTAACTATTCTAGGGCTGAGAAATGAAAGAAATGGCCCAAAGTTACATGGCTAGAGGAAAGCAGCAAAGGAATTAGAAGTGGTTTTGTAACCACACTATAGAGAAGTCATCTTCTCTGTAGAATGGTGCTATCCAAAGGAAATATAATGCAAGCCACATATGCAATTTACATTTTAGTTAGCCATATTTAAAAAGAATATAAAGGCCGGGCGTGGTGGCTCACGCCTGTAATCCTAGCACTCTGGGAGGCCGAGGCAGGCGGATTGCTCGAGGTCAGGAGCTCGAAACCAGCCTAAGTAAGAGCGAGATCCCATCTCTACTATAAATAGAAAGAAATTAATTGGCCAACTAATATATATAGAAAAAATTAGCCGGGCATGGTGGCGCATGCCTGTAGTCCCAGCTACTTGGGAGGCTGAGGCAGAAGGATTGCTTGAGCCCAGGAGTTTGAGGTTGCCGTGAGCTAGGCTGACACCACGGCACTCACTCTAGCCTGGGCAACAAAGGGAGACTCTGTCTCAAAATAAATAAATAAATAAATAAATAATAAAAAGAATATAAAGAAACAAATTAGAGTAATTTTAATAATACACCTTTTAGAATCCAATATATCTAAAATATTATCACTCTAACATGTAATCACATAAAATATTAATGATATATTTTACATTCTTTTTTTTGTACCAAGTCTTCAAAATTCAATATACAGTTTACACCTATAGCACATCTAGGTTTGGACTCACTATAACTGAAGTGCTCAACGGTTTTATGTGGCTGGTAGTTGCTGTATTAGAGCAAGAAGCTCTAGAAGACTGGTTCCTAGGAGCAATGCCAAGATACCCTGATGTGCTCATTCTCTTGTGAATTTTAATTAGGGGTGTGGAAAATAATCTATAACTCATTATAAAATGCTAACCTTTATAAACAGTTTACTTTAAAAATAAGTTAAAATGGATTCAACTTTATTCCTCTGTTAGTGACATTTTCACTCATAATCAATTTTTTTTACTTTTGTTTCTATGCCTTTACTGTTTACTTTG